TCAAATCGGTGCGATTTGCAAATTATTGTTGTAGGTATATTTGAAATCACATTATTAAATGTTTCAAATGAAAACTGCTAAAAACACATACTTTACGTTATAGCCGTCGATTTACTGCCAAATGTTTCACTCTTTTGTTATAAATCCTCCGAAATAGATTTTGTAAATCGCGCCGATTTGAAATCATTTGCAGAACATACCTGTATGTTATTATTATCAGTTTATTTTATGTCAGAATCATAAACATTAACAAATACAAATTTACCTTTTATATGAATGCGTGAACATTTTATTTAAAAATGTTATAATATTATATTTCTAATGTTATCTTCTAATATAATAATANCTTATATTTCTAACGTTATCTTCTAATATAATAATACATTTCAGCAAAATGTTAAGATTCACGTGAGCTGGACCGATTTAAAAATACCTTCCAAACTGGAGTTTTTTATAAATAAAAATTGTTTCAAAAAGGTTTTTTTTTTTTGAAAAAATCTCCTGAGATGACAAATCATGCTAAGCTAAAAAAATTTATATAAAAATATTCAAAAAATTTTTCATGGGAATCATAATGACATTTTTTATGCTGTTTTTTTTAACTTTTTTCAAAGATTTGTTTAAGAAAAGAATGATTCCCTTGATCATTTTTTAAAAATATTTCTATGCAAATTTTTTAAGCTTAAATTGTTTTGTTATCTGAGGTGATTTTTTGCAAAAAAAATACTTAAAAAAAATTGTTTTTATTCACAAAAAACACACTTTTTGAAGGTATTCTCAAATCGGTCCAGCTCACGTAAATCCTAATATTTTTTCGAAATATTTAGTCTTAAAATAAAATAGATTTTATAATTTCAATGGGAAAAAAGTACCGATGAAGAGTGATGTAGTATAATGTACATATGTATGTACTTTTTAAATTCCAGATAATAGTGAAATAGTGGCACTATCTATAGAGACATCATCGGGCGATCTTTATGAATGTGGTGTTTCTCCCACTTCGCTTTCCGATTGTGCAACCCCAACACCGTCGACATCAGCAGCTGCCCGTGCATCTGGAAAGAAAAATTTTCAAAAGAAATTTTTAGAAAAACTAGATAAAATTGAAAAGGAAATGGAAAAATGTAGTAAAGATTTGAGAGAAAGTGATATAGATTTAAGAGAAACCAGTAAAGCATTTTTAGAAAATGAAATGATAAGAACTAAAATTTTAGATGAATACGTTAATGATAACCAGGGAACGGATTTTTAGGACCTAAAACGTAACGAAATAGGATGGAAAAGGCAAAATAAAATAGCGAAAAAGGCAGGAAAAGGCACTAGGAATTGCAAAAAAGGCAAAAAAAGGCAAAACAAATTAACGAAAATATTATAGTTAAAAAAACTAAAAACACGCTTTTATTACAAAAAGAACTAAAAAGTATAAAATAATTTGTAGATATAGCGATTCCGTTTAAGAAGAATAGGAAGTTCCCTAACCTGATTTAATTTAACTGTTTTAAGTTAGCTAAAAATATGATTAAAGTGATTGATCCGTAGTTATAGTCAAAATAAAGTGCACTGTAAAGTTTGTTGCAGNCTTTTTGGCATAACTTTCAATGGGGTGTCTGTAAAAAAACTGCAGCAAACTTTACAGTGCACTTTATTTTGACTATAACTACGGATCAATCACTTTAATATGAATTAATAAATAAAGTATTTATTAAAAAAATACCAGTTAAAATTAGCTATACTTACAAAAAAAGGTAGCTAGACTATTTCGAATTATTTCTGCACTAT